TCAGATACCCATGTACAAATTGATCAAGCTTACTCAAGGGATTTTATCCCAGTTGACAAGTCACATGTTCCCACCAGAGAAACTGCACTTCAGTGGCCACATTTAAAAGGTTTGGTTAACAAAATGAAACCATTACAAGATTGTGATGTGGGATTGTTAATTGGTTATGACTGCCCATCAGCCTTAGCTCCCCTAGAAGTTGTTACAGGTCAAGTAAATGAGCCTTTTGCTCAAAGAACAATATTAGGTTGGAGTATTATTGGGTCAGCAAATCCCCACTTGGACAGACACAACAACCAAAGCTTTGTGCATCGTGTAACAGTAAAAGAAATGCACACGCCATTAGCTACAGATGTGCTTAAAGTTTTGGAATCAGACTTTAATGAAAGAAACTATGAAGACAAATATGTATCTCAAGATGACATTCGTTTCATACAACTTTTGAGCAACACAATTGTGCAAAGGCCTGATGGACACTATGAAATGCCACTTCCTTTCAAAGATGACCATCCACCATCCCTCCCAAACAACAAGAAGCTAGCCACTGTGAGACTGCAGCATCTAAAGAAAAGGTTAAAGGCTGACAAACAGTACCATGAACATTACACAGCCTTCATGAATGACACCATAAAGAATGGTGATGCAGAACTAGCTCCCCTTGTGTCTGAGAGTGAAAATGTGTGGTACATCCCACACCACGGGGTGTACCACCCGAAAAAACCTAGAAAGTTGAGAGTGGTCTTTGATGCTTCTGCAAAGTATCTAGGCATCAGCTTAAATGACACACTCCTCACCGGCCCTGATATGACAAATTCTTTAGTGGGAGTTTTGTGTCGCTTTAGAAGGGAATCGGTGGCAATCATTTGTGATATACAGAAAATGTTTCACCAGTTTTTTGTTACTTCAGAGATGCGCAACTACTTGAGATTCCTCTGGTGGGAAAATGGAGAGCTGGACACAGAGCCCAAAGAATACAGAATGACTGTCCACCTATTTGGTGCTGGCTCCTCACCTGGATGCGCTAATTTCGGCCTGAAGTATCTTGCACGGCAACACAGATCTGACTACCCCAAAGCCTCAGCCTTTGTTGAAAATTGCTTTTATGTTGACGACGGGTTGATGAGCGTCCCATCAGTCAGAGAGGCCAGAGACCTCATAGCTGAGTCCCAAGAACTGTGCAAACTGGCAGGCTTGCGTCTGCACAAGTTCAATTCAAGCCATGCAGATGCTCTTTCACATCTCGAGTCCTCAGATAAAGCAGACACTGCCAAACCGCTCAATCTCAAACCTGACACACACTCAGACCACGTGCTTGGTATACAGTGGACTATCACAAATGACACTTTCAGCTTTAATACCAGCACAAAGGAGCAGCCTCCTACCCGTCGTAGTGTACTGTCAGTTATCTCATCCCTGTTTGATCCACTTGGGTTTGTAGCTCCTTTCTCTCTGAGTGGAAAAACCATCCTCCAAGAATTATGCCGCAGGGTATTGAATGGGATGACCCCATTCCGGAGAACTTGTGCACACGGTGGGAGGAATGGAAAAGTGGTTTGCAAAGTTTAAAGATGGTCTCTGTCCCCCGATGTTACCACCCTCCCGACTTTGACAACATTGTAACAGTAGAATTACATCACTTTAGTGATGCGAGCAATGTAGGGTATGGGGCATGCTCGTATTTAAGATACAAAAACGACAAAGACCAAGTTCATTGCAGCCTAGTGATAGCTAAAGCAAGGGTCGCACCCACAAAAGTCACAAGTATACCGCGACTCGAGCTTTCAGCTGCAGTCACTTCAGCCAAACTAAGTGTAATGCTTAAATCAGAGCTCGAAATGCAGATCAATGAAGAGCACTTCTGGACTGATTCTCAAGTGGTACTCGCTTACATTAATAATGAGGCGCGCAGGTTCCATGTGTTTGTCTCAAACCGTGTTCAGTTTATACGACAAACAACAGATCCTAAACAGTGGCATTATGTCAGCACAGAACAAAATCCCGCTGATCATGCCTCCAGAGGGCTCAGTGCAGCAGACATCACTTCAACTAACTGGTTATCAGGCCCAAAGTTCCTGTGGGAGCCAGATATCCCATATCCATCAAACACGACACTCGAACTGTTAGTTGGTGATCCAGAAATAAAAACAGTCAAAGTGCTTGCAACTCAAGTAAACAAAGAAAGTGACATTCTGAGCCGTCTCACAAGATTCTCGAGCTGGTCAATGCTTCTCAAAGTGATTGCTAGGTTAAAGCGACTCAAATCAAACAAAAATCAGCAACCCAACTTTGTAACTGTAGAGGAAAGAAAGGAAGCTGCTGGCCTCATTGTCGGCCTTGTGCAGCAAAAGGCTTTTCCCCAAGAGATTGAAAGGCTGAAGGTGGGAGAAAACCTTCCCAGTACAAGTCCCCTCTTCAGATTAGACCCTATATCAGACAATGGACTTCTTCGTGTTGGAGGCAGATTAAAGAAATCCACACTGAGTCAAGGACTGAAACATCCCATCATTCTTCCAAAAGGCCATCACATAACAAAGTTGATAATGTCACACTTTCACTCTGAGATTTGTCACCAGGGCAGAAGCCAAACATTAATGGAGCTGAGAGCCAATGGATTTTGGGTGATTGGTGGAAGTAAGGAGGTCGCAAAGCACATAAACAAATGCGTGCAGTGTCGCAAGTTAAGACGCCCAACAGAAGAACAACGAATGTCCGAACTACCAAAGGAACGAGTTGAGATCTCAGAACCATTTATGTACAGCGGTATGGACTGCTTCGGCCCGTTTGTCACAAAGCAAGGCCGCAAAGAGCACAAAAGGTATGGACTGCTGTTCACTTGCCTCTCATCCCGCGCAGTTCACATAGAAATGGTTGAAGATCTATCCACAGACACATTCATTAACGCATTGAGATGTTTTATCAGTCTAAGAGGAGCTGTTTGCAGGTTGTACTGTGACCAAGGCACAAACTTTGTGGGGGCAAAAAATGAACTCAAAGAGACACTAAAGCAATGTGACATTAATGCCCTAGAAGCGTTTTTGGCTGAAAAACAATGTGAGTTTGTGTTTAATGCTCCATCTGCTAGTCACGCAGGAGGCGTTTGGGAGCGCCAGATCCGAACAATCCGAAATGTTCTCAATGCTTCCATCTCTCAGTGCCCAGGAAGATTGGATGATTCTTCTCTTAGGACACTTTTCTATGAGGCAATGTCAATAATAAATGGACGACCACTGAGTGTTGATGCAATAAATGACCCAAAGTCACCTGAACCACTCACTCCAAACCACCTCATACTAATGAAATCCAAAGTTGCTTTACCTCCACCAGGGAAGTTCATAAAGGAGGACTTGTATGCAAGAAAACGGTGGCGTAGAGTGCAATATCTCACTGAGCAGTTCTGGAGTAGGTGGAAAAAGGAATACCTTCTGAACATCACCACAAGACAAAAATGGCATGTACCACGTCGTAACCTTCAAGTCAATGACATTGTTATTATCAAAGAGGAAATGCTTCAAAGGAATCAGTGGCAACTCGGACGAGTTGTAGAAGCTCTCAAAGAAGATGATGGACTAGTGCGCAGAGTGAAGATCCAAACAGGCATTAGGGATCTGTCTAAGAAACAAGTCACACCACAGAAGCCTCACATTATTGAACGGCCTGTGCAAAAGTTAGTAGTTCTTGTTGAAAGTAATTAAGAGTAAGAAATGTATTGTTTGGTTCCAAGCTTACGCTAAATGTAATGCTAAAAGAGTTTTGTTTTTGTTTTTTCTGTCAAGCATTGGTAAATAATTTAAATCACATATATTATAAAGTTAATATACATGATTTGGTGGGAGTGTAATTGCCAAAGCGTCCACTAGATGGCACTCTTGCAAACTGAATACAGCCGCGAGTAGCGAAGGAGAAGTTTTTGTTTTCAGTTCCAAATGCACAATGGCCACAGCCACGCAGCTCTGTGGCTCAAAGAGAAAATGTTTCTAACAACTTGCAGCCCTCGATAAGCGGAGCGAGGTAAATGTTTTATGTGTTTGTAGGTGTTAGGGAGATATCATTTAGTTTATGTATTTTGTACCTACATGCTACTTATTTGATATGTACTGTGTTTCTCTGTACAGTTTTCACGGTGAACATGAATATGGTGTTATGTCCATAAAAAATAATCACACCCGTCGAAACTTTGTCCTGCTTGTAACCTTGGGGGCCAGCAATACTCTCTCTCTCTCTCTCTCTCTCTCTCTCTCTCTCTCTCTCTCTCTCTCTCTCTCTCTCTCTCAAACCTTCATATCAAAGCGGGAATTTAGGAGGAATGAATAACTCAGACTTCAATGTTAAAGGAGCAGTATGCACAATTCTGGCCAAAAGTGGTACTGCAGCCTCTCCCACTCTCCCTGACTCAGGTTGCCAGATATGCAGACGAATCCAGCTGGGACCATAACAGCTGAATAGACAAGAGTTTAGTCAACAACAAATCTATAATATATATACGTATATATCTGATCTACCGCCCCCCAAACCACAGCCATCTTTCAGATATGCCAGATATGCAGACGAATCCAGCTGGGACCATAACAGCTGAATAGACAAGAGTTTAGTCAACAACAAATCTATAATATATATACGTATATATCTGATCTACCGCCCCCCCAAACCACAGCCATCTTTCATTTCAGACATCCATGACTTTCTCAGCTCACTCTGCTCATCCTACAAAAACATCCTAATCACTGGTGACATCAATATACACATGGACTTGCTGACCTGTCGACTCACCACTGAATTTAATCAGGTTTTGGACTGTCTAAATCTAAAACAACTCATCAACTGTCCCACCCACAATAAAGGTCACACACTGGACTTGGTTATCACAGACTCCATCCAAATCACTGACCTGCAGGTGTATGACATTGGTGTCTCTGACCATCTAGTCACTTCCTTCACAGTTCCCACATCCTCCCATCTCGACAAACAAAAACGACATATCACTTTTCGGAACATTAAAAACATTAACCCTGTCTCCTTCGAACACAACCTTCAACTTCTTTCAGCTCCCCCGGAATCTTCAGCAGCAGACCTAATGGACCACTACAACAACAACCTCAGCTCCATTCTGGACATTCATGCCCCACTGAAGACCCGGACTGTCAACTTCACCCGCTCAGCTCCCTGGTACACCAACCAGCACAGGGCCATGAAAAGGTCAGGCCGTGTCCTGGAGCGGGCCTATACTACATCTGGGCTGACGATGCATAAGTTGGCCTACCGGGAACATCAGAAATCCTACGCAAAAGCACTCTCATCAGCAAGGTCAGGTCATTTCTCCACAACCATTAACAATAACCCAGGTAATTCCAAAAAACTTTTCTCCACCATACAACATCTTCTCAAACCTCAGTTGCGTTCCCATCACACCCCAACAGTAACGAATTGCAATAACTTCCTTGATTTTTTCACTTCCAAAATTGACAACATCCGTTCCACCCTCACAGCTACACAAGATTCTTCCCTAGGCATTTCAAAATCCCCCTCATCACATAGTCTCTCTCATTTCACACCCATGACGCAGCAGGAGGTCGAGAAGATCATTCATACCTCTAAACCATCCACCTGCTCCTTGGACCCACTCCCTACCCCTCTTCTCAAAACCTACTCCAAATTCATCAGTCCCACAATAGCCAAAATTATCAATCTCTCCCTTGGTACTGGCATCATTCCACCCTCCCTCAAAACAGCTCTCATAAAACCATTACTTAAAAAACCCACTCTTGACCCTGTGCCCCTCTCCCATTACCGTCCTGTCTCAAACCTTCCATTCATTTCCAAAATCCTCGAAAGAGCAGTCTCCACTCAACTCCATAATCATCTCAAATCAAATAGTCTCTATGAAAAATTCCAATCTGGTTTCCGCCCCTCCCACAGCACAGAAACAGCGCTCATCAGAGTGACCAATGACCTTCTCATGGCCTCTGACTCCGGTTCCACTTCCATCCTCATTCTTCTCGACCTCACTGCTGCGTTCGACACCATTGACCATAACATCCTTTTACATCGTCTCCAGCACCACATTGGCCTCTCCCACACTGCCCTCCACTGGTTTCACTCCTACCTCACTGACCGAACCGAGCATGTGGTTCTGGGGGACGCTAAATCTCGCCCCCACTCTGTCACCTGTGGGGTCCCCCAGGGCTCCGTGCTCGGTCCCACCCTCTTCACCATGTACATGCTTCCCCTCGGGTGTGTCGTCAGCAGGCATGGAATTCACTTCCATTGCTATGCTGACGACACACAACTTTATCTCAAAGTCACTCCATCCACCCCTCCCTCTGCACCTCTCTCCTGTCTTACCTCCTGCCTGGAGGAGATAGGGGCATGGATGAGGCAAAACTTCCTGCGGCTGAATGGCTCAAAAACAGAAGCCATTCAAACTGGTACTCCCCATCAACTTCACTCTTCTCCCATCACCTCAATCTCTCTCTTTGGCCACAGCATTCCCCTCTCTCCCTCTGTAACCAATCTCGGGGTCAAGTTTGACCCCCACCTTTCCTTCGGAAATCACATACATCACATCTGCAAAACTTCCTTCTTCCACCTCCGTAATATTTCAAAACTCCGCTCTTCTCTCTCTCTCCCGGCTGCAGAGAAGCCCGTTCATGCCTTTGTCTCCTCCAGGTTGGATTACTGCAACGCACTCCTCATCGGGATCCCTGGCAGGAGCATTCAAAAGCTCCAGTACGTACAAAACAGCGCGGCCAGGGTCCTGATGAGGGTGCGGAAGCATGAGCACATCACCCCCATCCTTCACACCCTCCACTGGCTCCCCGTTCACCTCCGTATAGAATACAAGATCCTCCTGCACACCCACCACTGTCTCCACGGTGATGCCCCCACCTACCTCACTGACCTCCTCACTCCACACTCCTCAGGCAGAACCCGGTCAGGCCAACAGCACCGTCTGCTCCCGCCCAGGACACGGCTCAAGAAAATAGGGGACCGGGCCTTCAAGGCCGCTGCTCCCCGTCTGTGGAACGCCCTCCCAGACCACCTCAGGGCCCCACAGACGGTGGAAGCTTTTAAAAAGGGACTCAAAACCCATCTTTTTACTAAAGCGTACTGCTAATTTTTTTATAGTCTTTTATCTGATTTTATGTGTTTGCTTTTATTTATGCTCCTGTTTGTAGCACTTTGAGATTTGATGTCAAATATAAAGTGCATTATAAATAAAAAATTTATTATTATTATTATTATTATAACCAACACCTTTTTCACAAAGATAGAAATCCTGGTTTTATTTCTCGTTTTGTTGTTAATGATTTGATAATATTCAAAACAATGCAGCTGGAGTCCGGACTAAAACCAGGAAGTACCATCACATTAGTCCTGACTAGAACCAGGAAGTACCATCACATTGGCCCAGACTAGAATCAGGAAGTACCATCACATTAGTCCTGACTAGAACCAGGAAGTACCATCACATTAGTCCTGGTCTCAGGTCTCTGCTTCGTGTGGTTCAGAGAAAAGACTTTAAAGCAGCTCTGTTTGTTACAAGTTTCCCCATGGTCAACACCAAATACATCTGTGACATGTTTAAGACAAATGAACCAACTCTGAGGAGCACAGGGACTAGAGGAAGACCAGAGAGAGAGACAAGAGAGAGACCAGAGAGAGACCGAAGGAAGAGACCAGAGAGGCAGACTAGAGAGAGACCAGATAATGAGACTGGAGAGAGACCAGAGAGAGAACGGAAAGAGACAGGAGAAAGAGACCAAAGAGAGAGACCAGAGAGAGTGACTAGAAAGAGACCAGAGAGAGACCAGAGAGAGAGACCAGAGAAATAGACCAGAGCGAGACCAGAGCGAGAGACCAGAGACAGAGAAACCAGAGAGAGACCAGAGAGACACTCGAGAGAAACACCAAAGTGAGATACCAGAGAAAGAGACTGGAGAGACCGGAGAGAGGCCAGAGAGAGACCGGAGAGAGACCGGAGAGAGGCCAGAGAGAGACCAGAGAGAGACCGGAGAGAGGCCAGAGAGAGACCGGAGAGAGACCGGAGAGAGGCCAGAGAGAGACCGGAGAGAGGCCAGAGAGAGACCAGAGAGAGACCGGAGAGAGGCCAGAGAGAGACCGGAGAGAGGCCAGAGAGAGACTGGAGAGAGGCCGGAGAAACACCGGAGAGAGACCAGAGAGAGACCGGAGAGAGTCCGGAGAGAGGCCGGAGAGAGGCCGGAGAGAGACCAGAGAAAGAGACCAGAGAAAGAGACCGTAGAGCGACCGTAGAGAGACCGGAGCGAGACCGGCGAGAGAACAGAGAAAGAGACTGTAGAGAGACCAGAGAAAGAGACCGGAGAAAGACCAGAGAAAGAGACCGGAGAAAGACCAGAGAAAGAGACCAGAGAAACAGACTGGACAGACCCAAACAAGACCAGAAAGAGACCGGAGAGAGACCAGAGAAAGAAACCAGAGACAGAGACCAGAGCAAGACAGCACCTGTACATGTGGTTGGCGTGTTTTCTCACCCGTGTTGGCGCTGTACATGTAGACGAAGCGGTTCCAGTCGAAGTGCTCCAGCAGGGCCATCAGGGGCTCCTGCAGTGGGGGCCTCAGCTGCAGCAGGAACTGAGCGTTGTTATTGGGGACGGGGAACGATGGCGTGACGAAGCACACGTGAAGAGAACCACAGAAGGACATCAGCATGTTCACGGTGCGACGGTCATACATGCCCAGGATCGCATACACGCCTTTGGAGAACTGAGAGCAGACTGTGGAGAAACGAGAGAGATCTGTGAGGAGCGGAGAGAGACCAGAGACCAGAGAGAGACCTGAGACCAGAGAGAGACCTGAGAGAGAGACCTGAGACCAGAGACCAGAGACCAGAGAGAGACCAGAGAGAGAGACCAGAGACCAGAGAGACCAGAGAGAGACCAGAGAGAGAGACCTGAGACCAGAGAGAGACCTGAGAGAGACCTGAGACCAGAGACCAGAGAGAAACCTGAGACCAGAGAGAGACCAGAGAGAGAGACCTGAGACCAGAGAGAGACCTGAGAGAGACCAGAGACCAGAGAGAGACCAGAGAGAGACCAGAGACCAGAGAGAGACCAGAGAGAAGTCTGAGACCAGAGAGAGACCTGAGAGAGACCTGAGACCGGAGAGAGACCTGAGAGAGACCAGAGACCAGAGAGAGACCTGAGACCAGAGAGAGACCAGAGAGAGACCTGAGACCAGAGAGAGACCAGAGAGAGACCAGAGAGAGGTCTGAGACCATAGAGAGACCAGAGACCAGAGAGAGACCAGAGAGAGGTCTGAGACCAGGGAGAGACCAGAGAGAGAGACCTGAGACCAGAGAGAGACCTGAGACCAGAGACCCGAGAGAGACCTGAGACCAGAGAGGGACCAGAGAGAAGTCTGAGACCAGAGAGAGACCTGAGAGAGACCAGAGACCAGAGAGAGACCTGAGACCAGAGAGAGACCTGAGACCGGAGAGAGACCTGAGAGAGACCAGAGAGAGGTCTGAGACCAGAGAGAGACCAGAGACCAGAGAGAGACCAGAGAGAGACCTGAGACCAAAGAGAGACCAGAGAGACCTGAGACCAAAGAGAGACCAGAGAGACCTGAGACCAGAGAGAGACCTGAGACCAGAGAGAGACCTGAGACCAAAGAGAGACCAGAGAGAGACCTGAGACGAGCGAGAGACAAGAGACCAGAGAGAGACCTGAGACCAGAAACCAGAGAGAGACCTGAGACCAGAGACCAGAGAGAGACCAGAGACCAAAGAGAGACCAGAGAGAGACCTGAGACCAGAGACCAGAGAGAGACCAGCGACCAAAGAGAGACCAGAGAGAGACCTGAGACCAAAGAGAGACCAGAGACCTGACAGAGACCAGAGAGAGACCTGAGACCAAAGAGAGACCAGAGACCAGACAGAAACCAGAGAGAGACCAGAGACCAAAGAGAGACCAGAGAGAGGTCTGAGACCAGAGAGAGACCAGAGACCAAAGAGAGACCAGAGAGAGACCTGAGACCAGAGACCAGAGAGAGACCTGAGACCAAAGAGAGACCAGAGAGAGACTAGAGAGAGACCAGAGAGAGACCAGAGAGAGACCAGAGAGAGACCTGAGACCAGAGACCAGAGAGAGACCAGAGAGAGACCAGAGAGAGACCTGAGACCAGAGAGAGACTAGAGAGAGACCTGAGACCAGAGAGAGACCAGAGAGAGACCAGAGAGAGACCAGAGAGAGACCAGAGAGAAACCAGAGAGAGACCAGAGAGAGACCTGAGAGAGAGACCAGAGAGAGAGACCAGAGAGAGACCAGAGAGAGACCAGAGAGAGACCAGAGAGAGACCAGAGAGAGACCAGAGAGAGACCAGAGAGACCAGAGAGAGACCAGAGAGAGACCAGAGAGAAACCAGAGAGAGACCTGAGACCAGAGAGAGACCTGAGACCAGAGAGAGACCAGAGAGAGACCTGAGACCAGAGAGAGACCAGAGAGAGACCAGAGAGACCAGAGAGAGACCAGAGAGAGACCAGAGAGACCAGAGAGAGACCAGAGAGAGACCAGAGAGAAACCAGAGAGAGACCTGAGACCAGAGAGAGACCTGAGACCAGAGAGAGACCAGAGAGAGACCTGAGACCAGAGAGAGACCAGAGAGAGACCAGAGAGAGACCTGAGAGAGACCAGACAGAGAAGTGAAATAGAAAGGACCACCCTCACTCAGGACATTTCTTACAGATGTTGTAAGATGTAGGCAGCATGTTATGGTCTGAATTCTTCATTTTACTTTTACAAAACAAACTCTTTCCTTTGGACAAACCACATACAATAATGAGAGGTGAAGTTGGGGTACCTAAAGTCAGGTATCCCTGCTTTAAGACAATGCACATGTGTCTTTAAAAGCGTCAGACTGATCTCTCTCATCCCACATATGTTCGACTGGTTCTGAAATAACCCTCGCTGCTCATGTGAACAGGCGACGCGCACCAGCTAACGCTAAGCGACAGATCCTCGTTAGCATGGCCGCGTTAGCTCAGGGCACATGCCTATTGTTAGCGATAGCATGTCTGGAGGGAGCGGTTATTTCAGGGGCCGCGGAGGGGCCGTGTGGTTAGCGTGTTAGCGATAGCCTCTGGGGTCAGGGGGGAGAGTGGGGACGCGGTGCACTCACACAACCTCGCCGTTCAAGAGGACGCAGACTCAAACCCAGCTTTTGTCTTTTTAAACATGTTCCTGATCAGAAACAGAGCCGAAGGTGGTTTTAGCTCCATCCACGCTCGGGTCAAGAGGGCTCCACTCAGTCTACAGAGGCCAGTTAAAGATGTACAAACGTTTAGTCTCATGAATAACTCATAGAGTCAGTATGGTTAGTCATATATGGTTAAAGTTATGCTATGACCGCAGAGAAGGCCCTGTGCTCTGGTTTTAGACCACAGAGAAAGCCCTGTGCTCTGGGTTTAAGACCACAGAGAAGGCCCTGTGCTCTGGTTTTAGACCACAGAGAAAGCCCTGTGCTCTGGGTTTAAGACCACAGAGAAGGCCCTGTGCTCTGGGTTTAAGACCACAGAGAAGGCCCTGTGCTCTGGTTTTAGACCACAGAGAAAGCCCTGTGCTCTGGGTTTAAGACCACAGAGAAGGCCCTGTGCTCTGGGTTTAAGACCACAGAGAAGGCCCTGTGCTCTGGGTTTAAGACCACAGAGAAAGCCCTGTGCTCTGGGTTTAGGACCACAGAGAAGGCCCTGAGGCTTTCATTACAGTTGAGGCAGGAGCGTTCGGACAGAAGTGTGGATGGAGCTAAACACAGCTGCAGGTCTGTGATGAGGAAAAATGGGAACAAGAGGCCGAATTAGCAGAATGTTTAGTTTAATGTGACCTTAATGTGTTTAAAGCTACAAACGTGAGTCTGACTCTGATCCGCGGTGACATTCTGACACTGACCTGATCATGTCCTGTCAGCTCTGCTCACACAACAACAACAAATGGTCCCTTTGTCTGTTCTGTCTTTGGTCTCTCTCTGGTCTCTCCCTGGTCTCTCTCTGGTCTCTCTCTGGTCTCTCTCTGGTCTCTCTCTTGTCTCTCTCTGGTCTCTCTCTGGTCTCTCTCTGGTCTCTCTCTGGTCTCTCTCTGGTCTCTCTCTGTTCTCTCTCTGGTCTCTCTCTGGTCTCTCTCTGGTCTCTCTCTGGTCTCTCTCTGGTCTCTCTCTGGTCTTTCTCTGGTCTCTCTCTGGTCTCTCTCTGGTCTCTCTCTGGTCTCTCTCTGGTCTTTCTCTGTTCTCTCTGGTCTCTCTCTGGTCTCTCTCTGGTCTCTCTCTGGTCTTTCTCTGTTCTCTCTCTGGTCTCTCTCTGGTCTCTCTCTGGTCTCTCTCTGGTCTTTCTCTGTTCTCTCTGGTCTCTCTCTGGTCTCTCTCTGGTCTCTCTCTGGTCTCTCTCTGGTCTCTCTCTGGTCTTTCTCTGTTCTCTCTGGTCTCTCTCTGGTCTCTCTCTGGTCTCTCTCTGGTCTCTCTCTGGTCTCTCTCTGGTCTTTCTCTGTTCTCTCTGGTCTCTCTCTGGTCTCTCTCTGGTCTCTCTCTGGTCTCTCTCTGGTCTTTCTCTGTTCTCTCTGGTCTCTCTCTGGTCTCTCTCTGGTCCCAGGTACTCGCACTCACTTATACTAAAAGTAGGTTGTTTTTTATATCCCATTTATTTCAAAATGTTCCTGTTTTCCTTTTGGTGAAAAGTTGACACGGGCCCAAACAACACGCAGGCCTTTTTCACGTTCTCCCCGGTTGACAAACAATTTTGACACGATTCAAAAAACACGGGTGTGCAGCAGTAGAGGCAGGTTATTGACAGTGTGGGTGATGAAAGTGTTGTTGTTTGCGGCGGGCCTCAGCTGGGCTCCGCCGGCTCCTGTCGTCACTCTGTTTAAATAAAGATCAGTCAGAAGGTGCAGCCGCCGAGAGTCTGTGGGACTTCCTCTTTACTAAACACTGGAACTCACAGAGCAGTCAATCTGACGGCTTTTAGTTTTGGAAGTGTACATATTGTGACATTTTCTTGATTAAGATTATTGTCATGATTTTTATGAAATTCTCTGAAATGAGATGTTCTTTGATTTCATTCGCCTGAATCTAACATCCAAATGTAGCTTATTTAGGTTTCTTTCTTTCTTTGGGAATTTAAGTCCTTTGATCAAGTTCTGGTCCTGGACTGGTACTGAACTGGTCTTGGGCTGGTTCTGGACCGATTAGTGATTGTAGTTCTGGTTCAGCTTGGATTCCACCAGAGAAGTGCGAGTGCTCGTTGCTATGGCAACATACTGTTTACTGCCAGCAGTTAGCATTTACTTTTTAGCATTCATTTTAAATGAATTAATTTAAAAAGTAATCAATCTTTTAAGTGTATTACTTTCATTACTGGTGAAAAACAAATTTGGGGGATTTTTTCCGTATTCTTTTGGATTGAACACTCAATGGGTTCTCAGAGCCTTCTCTGTGGTCTTAAACCCAGAGCACAGGGCTTCTCTGTGGTCTTAAACCCAGAGCACAGGGCCTTCTCTGTGGTCTTAAACACAGAGCACAGGGCCTTCTCTGTGGTCTTAAACCCAGAGCACAGGGCCTTCTCTGTGGTCTTAAACCCAGAGCACAGGGTCTTCTCTGTGGTCCTAAACCCAGAGCACAGGGTCTTCTCTGTGGTCTTAAACCCAGAGCACAGGGCCTTCTCTGTGGTCTTAAACCAGAGCACAGGGTCTTCTCTGTGGTCTTAAACCCAGAGCACAGGGTCTTCTCAGTG